TTTATTATAGCTAATATATGAGATAATAGTAATACAATTAAAATCCTAGTAATTCACGTAAACGTTTAACTTAGACAAAAACAATTCAAAAATGGGTATATGCCACATTTGGTCGCTAAAATTATTAAATCGTGTCATGTTTAGTCACTAGGAAAATTTAATATTAATTTTGGTCACTCAAATTACTGAAACAATTCACATTTAGTCACTCTCCCGTTAGCCTCCGTCCAACTCCAGTCACTCGAATTACTGAAACAGGTCACATTTAGTCAGTCCCCCGTAAGTTTCCGTCCAAATCCATTAAATTTTCTAGTGACTAAAAATGACACGATTTAATAATCTCAGTGACCAAATGTGGCATTTATCCATTCAAAAATGATTGCACCGTGACGTGCCAATATTCATACTTGACCCGTCCTGCGTACGGAAAGAGTATTACCCGCCCAAAACAAGTCAAACAAATCAGGTACTACAGAAAAAATGTCTTTACGCAACACTCATCCTGCAACACTTTCAAAAAATGTCACATAAAATAAATATAGACAACACTTTCATTTTGTGTCACCTAATATATATCTTATGCAACACAAATTAGGAGCACAATAAATTTTGTTACATATTCGTATAATATGTGGCACTTGTACAATAAAATAATTTGTGTTATATATTCTTATATTTTAGGCAACACTTAATAAAAAAATGTTACATACCGTATCGATTTGATACTTATTATAAACTAATATTTTAATATCAATCACGTATATCAATTTCAAACTAACTATAACTCTCATTACAACATTTTATAATGCAAACAAAAAAAAAGTAAGAGATAGCTTGCTCAAACTAATTCACGGAGGCGGGACAAATAAAGAAAGTTAAAAGTTTTGAGTTTTCGGAAATATTTTCTCCGTCAATTAAAAGGTAGGGTATGGGTTATTTTCTATTGAGAACGAAAAGGCTTAGGGTTTATTTTTGTGTTAGTTCTTAAACCTCCACCCACTTTGCCAATCGCATAACGAGAGCGGCGATGTGAAGAGACGACGACAAGTTAGTCAATTTCGATTCCATGTCTTTCGTCATCGTCTTCAGGCCCTCTTATGTTTCTTCTTTTGCTATTCTCTATGTACGTACTCTCTTTTAATTGTATTTGGCCTGGATTTTTGGTGTTCTACTTATCTAATTATGTTTGACATGTTTTGTTGGTTCTAATTAGTGTTTTCCTTCCATCCATCATGGTTAATAATTGACAGTCCCAGACTCCCAATTTTCAATTCCATACATCTATTCTCCACCAGGTTGCTACTTGAAATATGGTAAAGATGGAAGAAACCTCTTTAGATGTAAACTTTAAAGTATTTTGGAAGAGGTGAATTGAATATGGTTAATAATTAGTGGCTCATACGTTCTATAGGCTTTGTTTTCCATTAGACAATTACTTGTCCTTAATTTTGTGAAATTAGTTCATAGTATTTATTAGAAGTGTTAATTAGACATTGTTAAATCAATAAATTTCAGGGATTTATACAAGGGGCTGCATCTGCTCTTCTTTTATGGCTGATGGCTTTGGAAGTATGGCCAATGACAACATACTTGCGAGCAGGAGGTCACCCTTGCTAGACTCTATTGATCACGAATGAGTTTGTATGAAGCTCACCTTGAATCCGACACAAGAAATGGCATCAGATGAGAGACAAGATGAAGGTTGGCTGGTGCTAATTCTACCCCACACCACATTGTATCCCTTCCAACTCAAAAGCATGATTTCTTATGGATTAAGATATCATAAGCATGACCTGGTCTTCATCAAATCTGTGATTGATTATGAATCACAACTATAGGAAAAGTTAATCTACGTACGGTTAATCTTGGCATATTCATTGTGTATTTTGTTTTTGTTTTCTCGTATTGGTTTTGCAAAGTAAATAGGGGAGGAATGGAAATATAAAGTATATGATGTGTATGTTTTTTTAGTGTAGTTCTTGGTCAATGGTCTGAGCGGTATATATGACAATATTGTGGTCACAAATAATAGTAACTATTTGTGATAACTCAAATCCTCTTTATTGTAATAAATATACTATATTCAAATGCATAATATTTGTGTCAAAAAAAGAGTTCATCATTAATGTTGTTGCAGCAGTAACAATATCTTTGTCACAAAAGCATGATATTGTGACTACAATACCATCACAAAACCCTATTTTGTGACAATACAGTATGAAAAATGGCACATTTGTGACCATTTAAAGTGGTAGTCGTTGAAATACATCGATGTCCACATGAAGTCATCACAAATGTATAATATTTGTTACAAAAGTATGTTGTCACGATTGGGTACATCTTATATGACGATCAAATCGTCACTAATAAAGTATATACATGTTGGTTATACTCGTAAAAAAGTGTTGCGTAATTTATTTAAGTGTTGTCTAAAATAGTGTTGTATAAGCGGTATATATATATACAACACTAATTTTTTTGTTACCAAAAGTAAGAAAAATGTTACCTATTGCTTTATACAACACCACCTATAGAGGACACTAGTAAAAGTGTTGCATATTACATATGCAACACTTTGAGCACTTATTACAACACATTTGAAGTGTTGCCAAAAGCCACTTATAAGACATGTTTGGTCGAAATTGTCATAGTTGGCGCCGACTGTTTCTGGAATTCAATAGGAGTAAACGTAAAACTAGATATATACTCATTTCCCAAATTAACATGTTAACAACTTCAATTCCACTTAAAAACGACATAATCAGGTCATCCAATAAATCGATTTTGTTTACTATCTATCTAAAAGCAAAACTTATCTAAATCAACGAGATGATCATCTGCATTATTTGCACCTTCATGATAACAAATGTACACACCCTATGTATATGGCTTTTATCCCGAATCAAAACCTCATAAATGGGCAATGACCCCTTTTGACTCACTATACTTGAACATATCAGTTCCTACCCGGGCTTCCATGCTGTTGGTTCCTGAAGTGGCTAAGAAGTGACTGCGCCTGGAAACCATCACACCAAAAACATAAAGGGCTAATACCACTACAACACCCGAACTATCGCAAAAATGCCACTTGTGTCCTATTCTTTTCAATATTCCATTCATGTCCTCAACTATGATACTTTGTGTCATTTGTATCCTGTCAATTTTGTTGACCGTTAAAGATAATGGTTGACCAAACGATGGTCAACGCAAAGTTGACTTTTGTTGACGTGGCAAAGAATGTGGCTGCCACATAGATGCCATGTCACTAACCTCATATTTTTTAATTCAAATTAAATAAAAATTGATGTAAAATTAAAAAAAACTTTAAATTCAATTATATTATCAAGCCAAAATTAAAAAAAAATCTCATTATTCTTATTTCCTACCGATTAGCCCTCTCTTTCTCTAAAAAATCTCCAAGCCGATTCCCCCTGCTCGTATTCGACCTCAATAAATTTAACCCAGAAATCAACAAGCCGATTCCCCTGCTCGTATTCGAACAAGAACGAGAAACCTAAAACGACGCTAGCGAGGTGATCCGCCGCGCGCGAGGGAGGGAGAGAGAAGGGCGGGGAAGCAGATCCGGCTCCGACTGCTGTAGATCGATCTCTTCTATGGAGGCACCTCTCTCTTCCAGATCTGTACCGACGCCGCACTGTGATTGGAGCCATTTTCCTCTCGTCAAGTTTTTGTTTATTAATCCCAATTTTTGTTCCCGTCCCAGTCTCCTTTACAGAAAACCTCTGTTTATATTGGGCCATTTTTTTTTGCAATCCAGCCATTTTTTTTACAATCCAACCTCCCTCTGTATTTCTTCTTCCTCTCCCTACTGTTCTTCTGATTCTTCACCTAACAAAGAAAGAAAACCTAGTTTCCAAGTTATGGTGACCAATCCAGAACAGCCGCTGATGATGATCAATGAAGTATCCAAGGTACAAAGTTACTAACTTTCAGTCTTGCTTTCCATTACCCGGAATTTTGTTTTTGGCCTTTAACCCTATTTCATGGAGAAATTATTGATTGTTAGCGGTTAATGGATTTGTTCAGGAAGCCATGGAAGCAAGCAAGGTTGGGAGTTGGCTATGATTGTTTGGGACAACAGTGCCTGCGATGAGAAACAGAGGAGGCCAGCAGAGAGGGGAAGTTCCCAACAAGGCGAGCAGTACAATTTGGGTGGAGGATTTGGATTATTAGGGTTGGGGGTTGAATTTTATCTAATGGCGGTGATGGAATAGCCTTGGTGGTTTCGATTGTGGAGCGGATGTCCATGTGGGAGGTAATACAGTTTGGGAAGAATTTTCTGGATGAGCTTGGAGCTGATAGAGTCACCTGTCTCTCGACGGAAACAAAACTCTGAGGCTCACTATTCCGGCAGCCGCCACGCAGGGTAATTTTATTTTGACAACTGGGGGGAAAATCCAGCGTCGGGGATGAACTGGGATGGTCTCCAGGTCTGGAAAGAGCAGAGAAGCGATGACTGATTTTGATAGCGGTAGAGAGATATCGAGAAGGAACGGCGATGCGGAGATGGGGAGGCAGCAGGGGAATAATCATCGGCGAGGTTTCTGGTAGATAGGGGTTTTGTTTTTTTTTATAAATTTTCTATGAAAAAAATAATTAAAAATTCCATGTCAAATGCCACGTAGATGCTGACTGGATTTTCTGTTAAAAACTAACGGTCAACACCGGTCAACACTAACAGAATAATAGTTTAGGATACAAATGGAATATTGAAAAGAATAGGACACAAGTGGCATTTTTGCGATAGTTCGGGTGTTGTAGTGGTATTAGCCCAAACATAAATAATATGTTAAAAGCATTTCCTAGGCGATCGGCACTAAGAGAAGAAGGAACAAGAGTTTCGACATAGGACTATGATGCATTTGTTTGTCATAGAAAAGCAACCAATGAAATTATAGGTACTATATCTAGAATATGAAGGAATGAGAGTTTCGAGATAGTTGTTATCATAATTCAGAAGTGATAAGGAAAAAGTCTGCTTATTTTAGCATATATGCCAAACAAAATTCAAAAGAAAAAAACCAAAACAGTTTTACCTTCTCTACAGCCCTGGGAGTTCCTGACTGTGACAACGCCACTAATGGGGGCACAACACCTTCTTGAAGCACCATGTTGCAGAACCTATTACTGTTCGTGCAAAGCTGCAAAAGAGCAGCAGCTGCATTCTCTTTCCCTCTGGTAGAACCCAACTCAACAACTTCCACCAAAACAGGGATCCCTCCTTGCTGACCAATCACATTTCTTCCCTCAGGAATTGTTGCAAGGTTCGCCAAAACATCCACTGCTTTGTCCACCATTCCAGCTGCTGGATCCATCAACTCCACAAGATGCTTTATGGCACCAGCTGCAACAATCTGAGCCTTGTTCTCATGAAATATCGATAAATTAAACAATGTTGTTGATGCATCCTTCTTCCCTCTCGGAGTTCCATTCCCCAATAAATCCACCAGTGGATTTTATTGTTATCGTTGGCTTCAGCATTAGCAATCGCAATTTTATTGTTATCGTTGTTCGACAAGTTTAAAAGTGTCGTGACAGCATTTTCCTGAATCTTCAAGTCAGTTGAACGGAGCAAGTTGACCAACAAGGGAATGGCCCTACAGTTGGAGATCACAATTCGTTTATCCATATTGTGTTTTGCAAGTAATCTAAGCTGACATGTTGCTTCTCTATGCATATCAATCGAATCACCAGAGAGATCAGCCCTTGTTTCAGTTGTATGAGAAGAAACTATCCGCGGGAGAAGCCTGTCAGATGGACGTTACAAAAGTAGCTGACTTCGAGACCGGGTCTCAACAAAACGAGGTGAGAATTGGGATTCTCTGTGAAGAGAGCTGTTTGATGTAGCAGTAGAAGAAACTGCCTTTGGCATCTCAACTTTTACTTCCCCAGATGTGTCACTATTGTATAAAGTAATAAGATGATTGGGTACATCCAAAGACTCACTAGCATCGTCTCCATATGATCTTCTAGGAAAAGAAGCATTTGCAGCAGATGCACTTCTACCATGGCTCCTCTTAGAAAGGGGGAACTCATTAGCTGCAACAACAGATTCAGAAACTTCCTCCATTCTTGATGGTGATGCAATAGAATCAATAAGCCTTTCCTCAGAGTGAGCAGAACTTTCTTCAAAACCCGTCAATGATATACGAGCAATATCTATACCTTGGCCATTTGCAACTATGCCTGATAAAGAACTCTCGGAAGTAGAACGTGAATGTAAAGGAGAACTTCCATCTCTAAGAAATCCACTGGACGGCACCAAAATTGGTCCAGACGAGCTCACAGAACGAGGTGGTTCTGCCGGTGAGGGCTGCACAAACTTAACAGGCACTAACAGCTTAACATTGTTCAATTCACACAAATTTGCAATCAAGGCCTTCATAGTGTAGTTAGGTATGAGATCAGTGTGAGCCAGAGTATGTCGTGTCTTGGGGCACATCGTGAGTCCAAGTTCGATCCAGTTCTTTATAAACGTCCGTTCATAGTTCTGCCCCGATGCCACAATAACTGGATCTGTCATATACTCAAGTGAGAGAGGGCAACAAAAATCAGGTGGTATTGGGACAGGGCTGCTGGTTTGGGACTATTTGATAAGGAGAAAGCAATTGTGCATCATGGTTACCGGACCAATGAGTTGGTCGAAAAACTCAACTTCCCCACCTTTTTCTGCTTGGTCAGCAATCTCTTTCAACTTTTCAAGTGCCACAGCTTCTAAAAGAATCTCTTGATTGGTTCTCAAGCTGAGACTCTCAGCAATTTTGACCAAGATTTCAGAGTCAGTTGTAACAGCACCTTCCTCTTGATCCTTCAAGCACTCCTTAAGAGTAGATGATGCTTGTTCTAGTCCCATTTGCTTAAATTTCTATGTACAGTACTACAAAGAGTTGTGCCAGATTATTAGACATCATGAGGAAACAAAACATGTAATCTTTTCATCTCAATGGCAGCATTGATAATAATTTTACCAAAATACCTAGTAAAAACAAAAAAAATTCATGAAGTATGCAAGAGAAAGGTACCTCAATATACGACAAACTCAATTCTTCAAGAAGATGTTCATTGGCAGAGTTCAAGAACTAAAAATATCCAGGCCCAAACTTCGGATCTTTGACAACAATGGTTCAGTTTGAAGAACCTACAGAACAAAACACAAAGATGATTAGGCAGATCGTCACATACTTTCTTGCCTGTATGATGAATAAAAGTAACTAGTAAGATGGCGTTCAAAGCAAAAGTTGATGCCATTAATTTTAATAAATTACAATTAGATGATTTAAGGAGAGGCAGAAGAAAACAGAGAAGATCACTGCAAATTGATAATACTTAATGGAGAGCAACCATAAAAGTAACTCCATTGCACATGTACAGAAGGAAGAAACATGAAAATAGTGCAATGATAGGAACATTCCACCATCGAAGCATACATAGTGACATACACACCCCTCTGAAACATTAGGAACACAAAAAGACTAGATTTTCCCTCTGGACTTATCACAAATATCATAATTAGTAAGAGATGAAAAAATCTCAGACAAACTAACATCAAACATCTCAGTTGAAGATGCACTAACCATGAGCATGCTGTCAGCAGTGACCATGCGGATGTTATCACCTACAACGCCAGCTTAGTTACTCAACTTAACAATTTCAAGAGACAAGTTACCATTTACTCTATACAGAAGAAAAGGCATTGGAACTCACCAAAAAGACTTTGCTTGATAATGGCTGCCAGTTTACGAAGAGCTCCCCGATTTCATTGATAGATTGACCCAGCTCTGCAAAAGCTTTATTGAGCATCTCATTGGAAGCTATTTCACAATCAACAGCGGAATCAAGTATTTGCTTTAGAAGCTTCAATATCTCTTGTCTTCTGAAAATACTTTTGGGCTAGACCGGATATCACATTCTCAAAGGATGATAGATGAGAAAAGGAGGAGATATTATTGAGAAGCGCCTTCAACAGAGATATCTCCATCAGAGTTACAAGTCATTGAAACGATCAAAGCGTATCTAACAAAGAAACAAACAGATAAATTAGCATAAACATAGAGTGCACCTTAAGAGGAACTTAATGGTAACGACGGTAGCATGTCCTACTTCGTACAGATAATTCCACATGGTTAAAACAAGTATGATAAAATCATAATATGGTACTACAATAAACTCTTAAATCCTACTGCAGAATTGCCACATGCGGGCATGCGCATGTACAAGGCAAAAACAGGGCAATCATAGAAATTCGCCCATGAAGTCCATAATAGCATCAATAGTTTGAATAGAAGGTGATAGTCTAATAATGATAACAGTATGGATTTACCTTCCTTTACCAAAACTCCACAATCTTGTAAGTTTATGCATAAGAAGAGCTAACATCAACGCTCATTGGCTAAAGAGAAGACATATCTTCTTTCAATGCAGGGCAAACCAAAAAAAATGCATGCAAAGTAATGTTTGCAAATCCCCTAACCAGACAAAATTTTACAATCATCATCCTACAAAGTTCAAACATCCAGAAAGACCATAGAACTCAAAAAATAAAAGACCCGCCTTGACCACAACTCCACAATCTTGTAAGTTTATGCATAAGAAGAGCTAACATCAATGTTCATTGGCTAAAGAGAAAACAGATCTTCTTTCAATGCAGGGCAAACCAAAAAATGCCTGCGAAGCAATGTTTGCAAATCCCCTAACCAGAAATTTTTTTACAATCATCATCCTACAAAGTTCAAACATCCAGAAAGACCATAGAAGTCAAAAAACAAAAGAACTGCCCAAAGAAAGAGTTTGGGTACGTAGGAAGGAGGGAAGTGGTGATTCTAGTTGGTGATTTGTCAAACTGATGACTATTGTAATCCATTGGCAGGTAAGAAACAGTTTGCAGCACACACAGGCGTAAAACCAACAAGCTAACATTACATTAGAAACTAATGGGGGACGAAACTTTGAATCAATTAGCCATATAGCTAGATGAGTGCGCATATGATGGGCAACCATGGGCTCTGGATGGGGCATAAAAACTTAACTAATAATATGAGAGGACATTGGTTGTGGCTCCAAAATCATACTTCAGACCTCCTAGCAGAAACCATGTTACCACTAATTTACTCGTTTTCTCCGCCAACTTCACCATGGACAATGTGCAACAGGAATCCACAACTATAATTCTCTTACTAAAGGGAATTCGTAACTCGGATACAGAGTTACAGAATATGATATGTCGGATGCATTTACTCTTTGATTCTTTTCCAATTTTCCTATTTGTGGAGCTAAGCTCTGCATATCAATGAATTTGATCTCACAAAAGACGATTTCTTTCTCAACTCATTCTACATACTAGCTTATGCACCTAGATATTGCCCTCATCAAACATGAATCGCATAACAGAAACAATGCTAGACTAGCATCTCATATCTACATGTCAACTCCCGAAACTCATTTCCTAAAGTAGCATCACCAATTTAACCATACTTCCGAAGAAACAAGATATAAATTCAGATGAAGAGAAATCAAACTACAACCAGCGACTTGTTCAGACACAGAAATAGGAAAGGTTCATCAAACCTATCGACACATTAGTGAACCAATCACGAGCCCAATCAACAAAGCCCATGAACCAGTGCAACCAATAAAAAAGCTCCCAGATCCTTAAAACAGCCAACCACCTTCATAACTACATGCCTGAAAATAGGTAAGTTTCTACTTTTTTTTGGAAGTAAGTTTCTACTAAGTCGTCTAAATTAATGGAAAAAATAGAAAGAATATCAAGTTAAAACCAAGAAGATGGAAGTCAAAGAGAAGTATAAGTCTCATTTCATTTCAGCTCCCACAAACCGGCTGATTCTTTCAGCTCATTTCTTTTCCAAATCCTTAAAAAAGTCAACCAGCTGAATTCTACCACATTCACAACTACAAACTTGAAAATAGGTAAGTTTCTACTCTTTTTTTTTTTTTTAAGTTTCTACTCAGTCGTCTAAATTAATGGAAAATAGAAACAACATCAAGTTAAAACCAAGAAGATGGAAGTTAGAGAGAAGTAAAAGTCTCATTTCATTTCAGCTCTCACAAACCGACTGATTCTCCAACCGGCCAATAAATTACAAAATCTTTCTACAAAAAAGAAATGACAAACACAAGCACAATTCAATAATCTAAAATGATCAAAAATAATCTAAAGATCAAATGAAGCCGAAAACTTTTGAGAAAAAACGAGCGGCAAAACCCAAGACAGATCGAAGCTCGAAGGAGAAAATCACGGTAGATAGGGTCAAGTGGGAGTTCGTTTTGAGGGTTCCCCGGCTCCTTTGAACTGCTAAAAAGAAAAAGAAACCTCTTGTTGGAAGACCAACCACGACCCAGATTTCGTTTTATTCTCAGTGTCGCCCTGCCCCGACTCTACCCGAACCCGAACCGATCTTTCTCATTTATTTTTTTGGTTGATTTCTCAATTTAGTTGGCAAGGCAAAAATATCCCTAACCGTAGATAGGGGTGGAAATCGGTACGGTATCAGTATCTCAATACCAAATACCAAATAACGAATACCGAATTACAATCTAAAATCAATCTCAATTCCAATCCCTAAATAATTTGGGTATCCCAATCTTTGGTATCCCAATCGGTACTTCGGTATCCCAATCGGTACTTCGGTATCCCAATTGGTATTATCGACTACGAAATTAATTACCTTCCTAATTAATAATTAATATACAAATTATATTTTATTGTTTAATTTAGGACAAAGAGACTAAGCAAAGAGTCTTGAGTTTTCCTATAGCTAGAATGTGTATAAGGAGAATTGAGGAGAAGTGACATCTCAAATTCTTGTAATTGATAATCTTTAATTTGAAAAATTGGAGGTTAAGAGATGACTAATAATAATGTACTTTTTAGTGTTATGAAAATAACAAGAGATTAGGTGAGAGACGAGGATGAGAGTGACTTAAACTAGAAAGTCAAAAAATTGAGTTGGATGGAGGCTTCTAAGTTATGAAAGAGTGAGAAATGACCAAAGGTTGTTTGTTATATTTCATTAATTTTTAACTTTCGGTATTTCTCGATATTTGGTATATACTATATACCGATCTTAATCCCGAATACCGAATAGCACTCCAAAATGAATCCCAATCCCTAAAATATAAGCCGGTATTCGATAATACCAAATAATAATAAATTCGGTACGGTATTTGGTATATCACAAATACCGGTACCAAATTTCAGCCCTAACCGTGGATATCCATTTGAGTCTAACTTAATCGGGTAGGGTAAAACCCGAACCGAAAGACTTTTAGTGAGTACGGATAAAACTCGAACCCGAATATTGCGGGTAATGAGTGGGCATGGTTTTCTCACTATCCAACCCGAACTTGCCCAATTATACACAGACATATGTATTTTGTCTAGAAATAATCATTAGTTTTCTCTATCGTATTTTATATTTAGCATATAAATAAAATATTTTTATGAAATTGTGTTGTTTTAATTAATTTTCTTCCTTCTAGCGAATTACTTTTCCTCTTACGTAATGTGAGTATACGTGTGAATGACAATGTTAACATATTGGTTGGAGTTATAAAGATAAATTATTACGAATGAATAACCGTTGATACCCGAAACCCGAATGAGTATGGACATGGTTTTAATTTTTTACCCGTTTTCTCATGCGGGTTTGGGTATAAGTAAGAACCCAACTACTTTGGGTTGGGTAACGGATATGCACTATCCGCCCCCGACCCTACCCGTTGCCATCCCTACTTTTAGTATAAAAAAAAATCCTACTAATATAGCTACTAATTACAATTAATACCAATATCCCTAAAAATGAAAAAATGCAACTAAATAATACAGGTATTGAAATAAATATGAGCTTAGAAATTTCCATTTTGATACAATAACTCGTCTTGCAACAAAACTCCTTAAATATTTATTTATTCTCCAATAAAATATATTACATTTTTGCGTTTCTTTCTCCATTTCAAATTTCTTAATCTCTCATGATTCTAGGTATGTATATAGTGGTAATTTACAAAGTTAAAATATGTTAAAAAATAGTTACTACAATAAAAAGCTTCACCTCTCGTCTTTGATCTTTCTCTCCATTATAAGTAGATGATTGTCGATGATTCTTTCTATTGTGCTGCAAAAATCAATTTATATTTTAAGTTTTAACATATTCGGTATTCCTATCATATTGTAGCATCTCATGAATAAATGTTCTCTTGTATTATTTCTCAAAGTATTGTTGATTTGTTATTTATAATTTTCACTTCTATAATGTTAATATACATATGATTAGTAACACAATAGTCGATAAAATGAAGGAAAATTATTATCCTCGACTAGAAAAAGCCAATTGCATTGAAGATTCAATTCATTACACAATGATCAGGCAATCTGGACTTCAAAGCTAATAACTACTTTGCAAAGTACAAGTGATGGATTCAATATCTTCCTTGACCCTTTGTGTAGAAGGCATATGCAGTAAGAAGCCATACAGGCAATGCTGCTAAATTAGATGCTACCCAGAGAAGCTTATGCACATGAAGAGACTTTGAAGATCATAACTGTATGAAGCCCGGGAGGCAGCAGGCAGCTGACCTTTGCATTTATGTGGTTAGTAGAATACAACATGACTTTTGCCTTGCATATCTGGCAATAGGTGGCCTTCTTTTTCACTCAATTCAGGTCTATGTGCTTAGACTGGCGGCTCCATGGCGCAAACGTAAAGTTTCGGGACACAAGGTAGAGTATGAATGATACATATCCAACTGTGAATGCGCAAACCAATATTGCAACTATCACTCCATCTACCACATTCTTGAAGAAGTCCAACAATAGGTAGCCATTGATCAGCATCACCAGTACAGCCACAACCCATGAAATTGTCTGCCAAACAGAAGATATATTGTTTAGTAAGTAAAGGGGACAATTAGATCGAGAAAAGGTACTGCAGTAAGAGAATAGTTTACAAAAGCAAGATAAACATAACACATAAACATAGCTCGTGTAAGAGGAGGGTGAATTTTCTGTGTAGGGTGATTGTTTGAGAAGATGAAAGTGGTGAGGTGAAATGTTGTTCTTCAAGTAGGTAATGGAAGGGGAAATTGAGGTGAAAGAGTTGTTAAAGTAATACTTCATCATTTAAAAAATTGAATTTGAAATTCTGTGTTCAAGCACATTAAAAAGAAAACACATTTTCACCATGTGACAATCCATATAGTGGTTTTGCCCTCCATTTTCACCCCTGGTTAATGTTACTAACTTCAGAAGAGGTGAAAATGGGTACTCTCAACCCCCTCTTTTGCAACCTCTCCTCCCTGCCACACTCATGGAAAAGAGGGTAAACAGAGAAGGTCAACTTGCCATCTCAACCAAACATTACTTCTCGAGCCCATTGGAGACGCAAAGAGGACAAGATATCGAATTATCACACTAGACTACTGAGTATAGCTGCACTCTAATCACACTCCCATTTTAAATGGCTATATAGTGAGATTGCATTGCAGAAAGCAAACTAGAGGGGTGGGGTAAAAATGGTACCTTAAGAAAGGGACCGATCCGAAAAGTGCCCATGATCTGTTCCTTGGAGACCAAACATAAAAGAGGTATAAGTGCAAAAGGAATCTGAACTGACTGAAGCACATTCAGCCACTCATTCAATTTATCCAGGGAGTCTTCAGAGGAATCAAAGATAAGTGCAACAATTATAGTTGGGATGATGGCGCAGCTCCGAGTGATCATTGCCCTAACCCATTTCTTCAATCTCAAGTTCAGGAAACCTCCCATTATAAACTGGCCGGCATAAGTGCCAGTGATTGTGCTACTCTGGCCTGCGGCCAACAATCCAATACCCCATATGTACAGAATTGGGAGGACGCCACCCCCATATTTCTCTTGAAGAAGCTGCCCTGCATTTACAAGGCCAATGCTATTGGCTACTTCAGTGCCATAGAACGCCTTTGCAAAAACAGCAGTGACACATAAATTGATGAAAAACGATACAGCTAGTGCAACAGCTGACTCGATTCCATAGTATCGAAGAGCTTCGTCGACACGACCCTTCTTGGTTCGATCAACATCCCTGGATTGTACTAGAGCAGAATGCAAGAACACGTTGTGGGGCATGATGATGCAACCCACAACTCCAACGGCTTGTTTTATGGTTTTTGAGCTGAGCTTAGGAATCAAGATACCTGCAGATTTCAAGTAAACACAAGTTTTAAAATAACCAGCCATGGTAACCAAAACAAAAGCACTTGATGATCTAGGAAACAGAACCACAACTCACCCAAAAGAAGTTCAGTTCCATTCGGTTTCGTGTCACCAAACATCCAAGCAAAAGAAATTGCCATTACAGCGATCAGAAATGCGAAGAACGCTTCCAATTTCCTCACACCATAGTTCTCGAGAAACAGGAACACGAAACTGCACTAACGCCAATTCCTCCATCAGCAATCATCCATGAACTAAAATTCCAAAACCCAGAACAGAAAAAGTGAACCCAATTGGAAGGGGGAAAAATATAATAAAGTTACCAATCGAGAGCGGTGATGACAACGCCAGCCCACAAGGGCAAATACCCATTACTCAGAATCTTAATCGCAATAGCACTCCCAATAACCTCTTGAATATCAGCTCCAATGAGTGCCAATTCAGCCATAATCCAAAGCAGCATCCGTGCCCAAGTCGGATACTCCGCCCGGCAGAGCTCGGCCAAATGCCTGCCGGTTGCCACGCCGAGCCGAGCCGAGAGCATCTGAATGAGCAGCCCAACCGCGGTCGCCCACATAAGCAGCCAGAGCAAGGAGTACCCAGCAATCGCACCGGACTGAAGATCGCCTTCCAAATTCCCCGGATCAAGAAACGCTATGGACATCAGGAACCCAGGCCCAGTGAAGAGCCAGAGCTTCCTCCACGAGAAGGGCCGTGCGAAATCGGACGCGTCGGAGTCGGAATCAACCCCGACTATGTGGATTTTCTCGGAGGAATCGTATGCCGTCTCTTCCCGCTCGTCCGGCTCCTCGCCGGAGATCAGGGGCTGCCGGTGATCCTGCGGCAGGGCAGCCATGGCGGACAATTTCTCGAAGCTTGGGGAATCTGGGTTATCGGATTCGGAGCACTGGGTAGCTGAAGTAAGAAGGAAGTGAGTGTGTAAATTCCACGATGGTTTCACTTTTTCAGCTTTTGACGAATGGTGGGGGTGGTGCTATATATAATGACTCTTATCGGCTGCTTGTTTGTTAGTTGCTGCAGGTGAGAAAAGGACGAGAAGAAGATAGCAAAAGAACAGAGAAGCTTTGGGAATTGAAAGAGACAGAGAGATGTTCGATCTATCTATCTACCAGTGGCCGCGCCAGGCTACCTCGTGTTCATTCCTAGTTTCCCCCGCCAGCTCTTCCCTTTTCCGATTAGTTGCTTCATCAATTGGGGAAAACGTCATTCAATTGGGAAATTCCGAAACTCCACGCAAGAATCTAATTGTGGTTTTATAGGGGTAAATTGCATTTGTGGTCCACCGACTATGTCATGTTGACAACTACATCCTTAGATTATTACTACTATCAAATGCGCCCTTTATCAAATTTCAGTCCCTTTTGTATCATATAATACTTTTCTATGTCAAACTCTATTACTACTGGAGTTGATCCATACTTATGATGAAGTATGAATTTTGATGGAAAATCGAGGGGTGAAATTCGAATCCAACATATGAAATATACAATCAGTCTAATTTAGAGTAATTACGCAAAGAAAAAAAGAAGTATAATCGATAATTGGCATAGACGAGTATGGTGTCGCTCATTTAAAGCTTTGAAGACTTGGAATGGGGAGCTCTAGGGTAACGAGTTCCTGAGCCAAAAACATCATGATAAAGATAGAAAAGTGAAAGGAGATAGAATTCCAGAAAGAGGAAGAGAGTTGCTCAAATATTTATACCATATTCATGAGTAAGGTTGTATTTAAAGACCTTGATTACCTTGTGCTAGATTTTCCAATCCTGGAGATTGTTTCTAGAAAGTTGTCTTGATACTTCCCCAAACTGTTCGGTGTTTTGGTCCTCTTGAATCGAGCCACGCTTGAACCATTTGGTCTCGGCTCGTGGTCTAGGCCTTCTTCGTATCACATATGAATCATCAAGGAGATACTTGAAGTATGTATTGAATATATCAGTAAGTAATGAATTTGAGAGGACTAAACCAGGATAAATGACATATTACCCGAACTTATTTGTGAAAAATTGTGTTAAATCATCATAACATGGGAACTAGAAATTCCATTGGCCTTATTTTATGCTTAATGATTTTAGTAATTAGTTTGGCGTTACAGTTAACGCCAATGATCTGAGCTGAGGTTCCGCTGTGTGCCGTTCAAAATAATCATATATACATCTATTTGTTTGCGTCCTACCTAGGGTGAATGACCCTATCTCTGCTAGGGGTGTTCAAATGGTTACCATGATTATAACCAAACCAAATAAGGCTAAATTCCATTAACCATGGAATACAATATCATAACCAAACCGTCCAAACTAATACAACAACCAAATTAACCAAACTAAAGTTTAATCGGTTTGGTTAATTGGTTAACAAGATTAACCAATATAAAATCACATTATCATTGACGATGAAAATTTTCCGGTTAATGCAACAAGTCGCAATTTATATAATGAATAAAATATAACAATCAACACGTAGTTATAGTTGACCCTTAACAAAAATACATGCAACTAAGACAATTATCTTACGATTAGTATAGAAGTATTCACCTAACAAAAAATTATGATAATGGTATGGGTTAATGAATTGTTGTATTTGTGTAAATTGACATAGTCTCTTGGCAATTATCATAGGCTGTAAATGACCTTCCTTTCAAGTTTTCATCCATCATAATGTATGAAATTTATCTAAATTGGGCGTCCATATGTTGTGGTCTACATTTTACATATACAAATATACACTATGAGCAATATTGAGCTTTATATTTTATGAGTCTAAAAGGGATGAACGTTAACTCTTGAGTGGTTATGCAAAGTATTTTTTTTTATAACGGTTATGCAAAGTATTAAATATGTCATATGTGTATATAATATATGTTAGATATATGACTAATTACTTAACTGGTTAATTTGGTTTGACTGGTTAGGAGTGTCTGAAACAAAACCAAACCACCTAAACCAAACAAGCTAAAAACTTTAACCAAACCAATTATCCAAATTAACCAAACCAAATTATCCAAATAGTACTGATTAAAACGGTTATGATGATAACCAAACTGTTTAAACACCCCTAATCTTTGCTGGGTATTCTTCATAAATGAGTGCCTTAATTTGAATGTTTAAAAGAATATGCCAAATTGCCAATGAATCTTTTCTTGGTTGCCTAACCGAATCTAGAACCAACGATGACATGGACCGGATGACGTGGCTTGCCACATGCGCAGTTCTGATGACATGGACGGATGGGAAGAGCCCGAGGAAGTGAAGGACCAGGCAGGAAACGACGAGCTGCGTGTGAGGAACGAGCCGGCTTTCGTTGTTACCGTGGTGGGCACGTGCGGCCCACGGGTGGATGTGGGCTCTCTATTCTCTAATATTTTAATGGACGTCCACGGCCCATCGTACGCCACCACGAGCGGGATGACGGCACCGAGTTCACCGCATGGGAATTGCCACCTTCTACTAAGGCGACAACGCCGCTTGGAACGATTAACGATCGTACTAGTAGGTCAAGCAAGGCAATTATATCGACTGATTCTAGAAATCGATTCTAGAAAAATTATTTTTTTCAAGTTCATTTTTATATATATAAAATATTGTCATTTTTAAACCTTCATTACTTAAATGAAGAAAGAGTATTATAAGCAACTATATTACATTGTATTTATTGTTATTTCTTTGATTAAATACTAAAAATATGTTTGGTGATAATGCTTTTATATTTATATTTATATTTTATAGAAAGACATTAGTTCTTGTTTGAGCCTAACTAAGTGTAGGAGTGAGATTCGAGTGAAAATAGGGCGAGAAGAGCAAGCAATAAGAATCTTCTATTCAGTTGGAGGATTAAGGTTAGAAGAGAATGTGATTGTGGGGTTAATTGCATAGTTGGTCACTAAGATTACAAAAAACGTTCAAGTTTGGTCACTCGAAATATTTAAATCCATTGGAGGTACTTCAGTTTACTGAAACCGTTCACCTTTGGTCACTCTCCGTCCAACTCCGTTAACTTTTGCTTGTGGCAGTCAACTCTAAAAGTTGACCGTTAAATGTATGACGTGACAATTTAAAAATAATAAATTAATTTAAAATTTTCAAAATCGTCAGCTCATTTTCAACTTATTATCACTTTTATTTAAAATAAATACAAAAAAACTTAATCTCTTCCCCTGCCCAATCTTGACCATCATTTAAAAAAACATAGTGACCCCACGGTACTGGGAAACCCCGCCGCCGATCTGATGGTGGTTGGAATCGATGTAGCGGGAGACCCAACAGTGGCGGTAGTCGATCCCTTATGCTTATAGTGAGAGAGTCAAAAGTTCGATCCCCTCACCCACCGAGTAAATGCTCTATTTATAGGGTACATTGCGGTGGGTGGACATTTAATGTGATGTGACTACTGCAAGTGTCAGACGTTTAGACCATGCCTTAGGCCATAATTATACCTAGGACTAGGACGTTTAGACCATGCCTTAGGCCATAATTATACCTAGGACCTAGGACGTCGGCTTGGGTAGGGCAAAACGAAGCCGTCTAGCGCCTCTGATACTCGCGGATGCGTCTTTACTCGCAGAGCTCCATGCCGCGAGTGGTTCTTTCCGCGAGCGCGCTGGTCTGTCTCGCTTTGCGCGATTGGATCTGAGCTATATCCCCAACAATTGTCCCCCATCAGGGGGTATTCTGTGAATGCCGCTTGTTCGACTCTTGCGCGCCGGGCTCGGTTCCTCGCGCTCAGTAGCGGATCCAGAAATTCTACGTAGGGGTGTCCTCTATAAAAAATTAAATTAAATAATTAAATTAAATAATTATTAAATATGAAAATATCTAACTAATAAAAGTTTCATTAAAAGTTCAGACGTGTTTCATTAAATGATAAAATGCATTCGGTGTTTGTACTGCTCAACAAATATCTCTCGACATATCTTACTAGACAAGGATATCCCGTAATTCAGTTTAATCTTTAGGTTTTGAAAATAATTTGAGATAAGAATAACATTTTACTATTATATTTGGATCTAAAACACAATAACAAATGAGTTGCAGCGTAATTGAAAATATATTAACTAATAGTGCCAGTGTCCCAAATTTAAATCACATAAACTACTACTTAAATATTATTTATACCAATACGCAAACTACTACGGGAGATTGGATAATCATTTTCTCAAATTTTAAAGGTGTCCCACTACCACTTAAACATTTTTTTTCCTCATACGCAAATTACTATCGTAGGTTAAATAATCGTGTTTCCAAATTTTAGGGGTGTCCCGGGACACCCCTAACCATGCATGTATCCGCCACTGCTCGCACTCCTCATCCGCTTTCTTAGCCTTGGTTGTTCGTGCCCGATCTTCTCGCCGTCTTCGCCTTCCTTCTTGCGTTTCTGCTGGCTTCGCACGGTTAGAGTTGATTTTAGGGTGTATTTTTTCATCTCTGCGGGTACACCATGTCCCCCAGGCGGTGTGCGTACCCTATGACATCACCGCCTAGCCCCTACATTTTATAGGTGCTGACGTGGCACTTTGTCATTCACATCACTAATATATAAATCAATTAACCAAAAATAATCTCAGTCGTCGAGATCACACGTACAGTTAAGATCGCCAAAATACGTCATACCCCAGATTTTACCCGGAGTATCATAGATATCGCCCTTATCCATACGTATTTTAAGTCCCGCACATTCGGTTTTGGCCCTTATTAATCATTCTCGATGCCCAAGAGGTCGGGGCCTAACCATGGTGTTAGTACAGTCAGGAGTACCGGCCTAGTAGTTGCCTAGTTGGGGTGGCTCCATACAGCGTTAAAGCCGAGGCCCAAATGTTGCAGGCTCCCCGTGGGAAGCAAGAATTGCCTCTTGGAAACTTATAAATGGGCCGGCCATTAAACAAACCAACTGCGGAGCCCACTCCCATCCCATACACAGTTAGCATCCCCGTTGGAAAGGGAAGGAGGAAAAGAGAAAAGAAACAACCTACCGTTCAAATTGGGAATGGCGTCACCCATCCGTCAACCGTTTTATTTGGTTGGTCACGGCACGCCAATACAATTTTTCTAACCACCATTCCATCTCCTATACACCTCACTAATCTCCTAACCTTCACTTACTTTACTTACTTACGCCTCCTTAAACATCCTCTTACTTTGCCTCAATTGACCCATTACGAAATTCAAGCCCCTCCCCATGAAGAAATGATCGAGAAAAGAAAGCATTCATGGACATTCCTGTAAGTAGTTCTCTCATCATTCACTTTCTCAGATAAGTATATGTCTCCAAATTCCAAACAGAGAATGATTGAGGGAAAGAAATCATTAATGG